AAAAAAAATAAGACCAATTGTAAATTAAATAAAAGAAACCTTTATTTACCTATATTCCAGATAAACCAAAATAAAAATTCAAAGCAATAGATTAAATTTATATTTTTTGAGAACCTAATCATATAAAATAAAACACCAATAGCCCCAAAAAAATAAATCACTATTAAAAACAAAAATTTAACATTAATAATAAAAAAATATAATAATTATTATGTGATGATTATTTTTAAGCGTACTTAACAACAAAAAATCAAGATAAAATTATTCAAAAAACATCGTAAAAAAATCAAATAAATATTCACCAGATTAATCCTATTATTTATAACACCAAATACTCACATAGAATAATTAAAAAACATAAAGAAAGTCTTAACTTTATCTTTAAAAATTAAACACCCATATCGACTAGAGTTTTATTTTAATAAAAAATTTGATAAAATCAGGTTTTAAACCACTCTCTTAAATATTTAACGATGAAATATGAGATTGAAGAATGGAACAATCGTACTGTTTTTATATTTAAAAATCACATAAAAACATTTTAATAATTCACTGAAATTATTGATAAATTAATACAACCAGATCATAAGTCTGAAGTTGAGATAACAAGTTGGACAGAAGCTTTTATTTTCAAATTTTTTATGCTGATGATTCTTGGTTTTCATTTGAATTATATCCATTTGAGAAGCAAAATAAATCTGATTTAAAGAGATTAAAAAACTTAATGGATCAGTTAAGCTCATATTCTTTTTAAATCAAATCATGAGTCTGAAATATGTTTAAACGTAATCTCAGTGATATAAATGATCAAATCATTTTCACGAAGAGTATTAATCAGTCATTTTGTAAGCTGCGTGTACATTATCCATCAATTTGATTTACAAACGTTCTCATGATGAAGTAGATCAAGCATTAAAATTGATAAGAATAAAATTTTTACCCATTCGTTCACGTCCATAGATGAAAAAATGAGCATGGAGAGTGAGTCAGATTGGTATTGGACGTTCCTCTCGCGTTGGGAAAAGACGAGGATGAGGGCGCTTTTGTGTTGATCTATACTTTTAAAAAGAACTTATAAAAGAAGCCTATTCAAAATATCACGTTAAAAATCTTATCTTAATTGTCTTTTCGATATTGGCGTAGCGTATAGCCTGTATGCTTTTTAAAATAACGACACATATAGGAAGCGTCATTAAAATGCATCTGGTCAGCAATCACTTGAATTGAGAGTGTATTCATTTTAAGTCGTTGTTTAAGATTAACAATCACCAGCCGATCTATCAGCGTTTTAGGGTTATCATTAAAAATTTGCTTACACAATTGCGATAAATAGTAGGGACTAATGTTTAAGGCTTGTGCATAAAACAAAACCTCCCGTTCAGCGTGACAGTGTATTGCGATCATTTCCCAAAACTTCCAACATAATCTTTCTTTTCTTGTGTACTCATTCTTGGCTAAGGTCTTTTTGTGATTGACGATTTCAGACAGTCCCAGAAAAAAATTTTGCAAGTGATTGCATAATAATGTGCGCTGATACTGTTCTGTGGATTTAATAATAAAATCGGTTTGAGATTGCCATATCTTGATTAAACCTGCCTGTTCGGTATTGGGGGAAAAATGTGGCATTTGATTGAGATAAGCAAATAAAGCGTTTGGTAAAACAGCGGCAACTTCAGCAGCAAAATGACGATTGAATATACAATAATTACAAGAAAAATCAGCCGATTGGTTTTTTATAATAGTCAATGAATCTTCTGCAAGAACCAAAAAATCACCTGCTTGCAAATGGTAACTTTTAAACTGAATGCTTAAATCAGCATGGCCTTGTGTAATAAAAATAAGTGAACAATATGCTAATAGCAAAGGCTGGTTTAACGAATCACTTAGATGACTTGTTCCCCATAAATAATCTTTTGCATTTTGACGAAGATAATTTAGATCACTTTGCATTTTGAATAAAATTTATTAAATATCTGCCTAATTATAATGATTTTGTTTTGAAAAGTACCGAAATTGCCAAAATATGCGCATAGGAAGCAGTCCCTAAAATACCTATAGTTCATTTTGAAATGAGATGAATTTTATAAGAGGCTTTAAAAATATGATTTTGACAACTGAACGCTTAGTTTTACGACCTTGGCAGGAAAATGATTCAGAGAGTTTATACGAATACGCAAAAGATGAACGCGTTGGGCCAATTGCGGGCTGGCCCGTACATGAAAGTCAGGCACAAAGTTTAGAATATATTCAGACAGTTTTTGCACATGATGAAGTCTATGCGCTTGCGAAAAAGCAAGACAATCGAGCCATTGGCATGGTCGGTCTACTGATTGGGCAAGACAGTAATTTTGATATCGCTGATAATGAAGCAGAAGTTGCTTATTGGATTGGTGTACCCTTTTGGGGAAATGGTTTTATACCTGAAGCGGTTAAAGCAGTCATGCAACATGCCTATGAAGATTTGCAATTACACGCTTTATGGTGTGGTTACTTTGCAGATAATGAACAGTCACATAAAGCACAAGCAAAGTGTGGCTTTAAGCATCATCACACTGAAACAGATAAATACAATCAGTTTCTAGCGGATTACCGTACAGAGCATATCAGCTATTTATCACGTGAAGAATGGGTCAAATTGCCTGCACATTACAAAGTAAGCAAATACATGGATTAGAATCAATTAAAGTTAACAAACATCAGAGATATTAATAAATAAATTAAGATCATCTTCTGAACGATTCATATGAAGCGAGAGAGCTTATTGATCTCTCTGATGCAGCTATGTAATTAAATTTTTTGAAGAACTTTAAGTAAGGGCGAGATTCGCCCCTTACTTTAGTAATTCAAATTCACGATAAGTAATGCCAATGCTGCTGGAATCGCTTGTATGTAAATAATTTTCTTACTTGCCGTTAAGCCGCCATAAATCCCAGCAATCAATACACAGCCCAAAAAGAAATTTGCCAGTGGTAAGGCATAAATTACGGGTGCACATAAAGCCCAAAATAAGCCTGCTGCTAAAAAGCCATTATATAAGCCTTGATTTTGTGCCATGACTTTGGTGAGCTGTGCTTTTTCAGGCGTATTCCCAAATGCTTTTAAACCGTATGGTTTATCCCATAAGAACATCTCTAAAACTAAAATATACACATGTAGCAGTGCAATTAAGGCAATTAAAATTTGTCCAATCATCGTTTTCTTCCTTATTTTAAAAACGCTGATAGATCAGTCTCGCAACTGATCTATGCCAAGTACATTTATGGTTTTAATAACACTTTGCCTTGGCGTGCACCTTCAGTTGCTCTGGCTGCTGCTTGTTGAATTTGATCGAAACTAAATACACCTTCAACAGGCAATACTAATTTTTTCTGAGCCGCTAAAGTCACCAATTCTACAATTAACTCTTTTTTTCGTTCTGCAGACAATTGTTTGTTGACCACACTTGCCCAGAAACCTTTGACTGTCGCTTGTTTAAAAATGAGATCACCTGATGAAATTTGCATCAGTTCACCCGTCATACTACCAAATGAAACCAAGACACCATTTTCACTAAGTAAAGCCAACATTTCACCACTGGCTTTCCCCCCAATCGAATCTACTCCAGCAATTAAAGGTTGATCTGCATGTATCGCTTTTACTTGATCTTTCCAATCCGCTTGATCAGTCGCCACTACATTTTGAATACCTAAACCATTCATTTCTGCAACCGCATCACTACGGCGAACCAAATGAATGACTTTTTGACCGCGAGCGTGCGCGATCATCGCAACAGTTTTACCCACAGCGCCATTGGCTGTGTTTTGGATAAGCCACTGATCTTGTTTTAAATCAATAAAATCTAACAACATCAGTGCACTAATTGGCATACCAATCAATTGTGCAGCGGTTTCATCATCTATTGCATCAATTAAAGGTACAACACCATGCGCAGGCGCAATAAAGTATTCCGCCCAACTGCCGTGAACCGCGGCAACTGCAATACGTTGCCCGACAGACACTGCATCGACACCTTCACCGACGGCATCAATCACACCAACCGCTTCGCTTCCCCCAATTGCAGGAAGTGTCGGCTTATAGCCATAACTTCCTCTCACCGTCCAGACGTCATGGTTATGCATTGGAGATAAAATCATTTTAATACGAACTTCGCCCGCTTTAGGCTCTGGCTTTGGCATGTCTGCTGCTGCTAATACGTCGACAGGTTCGCCAAAAACTTGATGAATAATACTTTTCATTTGTTATTCCTATATAGGTTTTAGTAATTGCTGTGTGGTTTCTAAAGCCAAATAAAGTGCTTGTTTGTTCTGTGCAAGTTTCGCCAATAAAGCTGCGCCTAACCAGAGTTGATACATGGTTTGTGCCATTTTCTCAGGCTCAATATGTTGTGGAATTGAGCCATCCTGTTGCCCCTCACTTAGTAAATTTGCAATGCGTTCAGTCAGCTTGCTTACACCAAAATTTAAAATCTGACGCATATCTTCGGATAAGTCAGAGACCTCTGCTGCAAGTTTTACAATCAGACAATTCTCAGCCCAACCACCTTCGTTATGGCATGGATCATCAATCCATGCTTGCCAAAGCGCGACTAAACGCGCATAAGCACTCCGCTCTTCTTGTAGAATTAATTGATCGATTTTCACTTTATAATCAGCAAGGTATTGCTGTAAAAGCGCACAACCAAATGCTTCTTTGGAAGAAAAGTAATAATAGAACGAGCCTTTGGGTACACCGCAGGTCGTTAATATTTCCTGTAAGCCAACTCCAACAAAACCTTTATGTAATACCAGCTTAAAACTGGTATTTAAGATATGTTGGCGAGTCGCTTCACTTTTATCTGATCGTTTCATGTACACACTATAAATCAATAATAGACCAGTCGTCTATAATTTTATTAAAAATTACTCAAGAAATTTAGTTGAGGGTTTTGAGTGCATTTTAGGGAGTAAATTGGATTGTTATTTTAGCGAATGGCTGAAAATATCAGCCATCCTTCGATTGATTTAAAACTTTGCACGTAAGGTGAGCCTTGCATTTCTAGGATTACCGAAACGAATGTCGCCATAAGTATCAATTTGTGAATAATATTCTTTGTCAAAAATATTATTGATATTCAATGCAATATTCACTTTATCACTTAGTGGATAGCTTGCCACCAAGTTAGCAATCGTATATCCAGGCTGACGATAAGGATGTTCGCTATAACGACCCACTTTCCAAGTACTTTGATAATTTGCACCGCCGCCTAGGATTAAATTATTTGCAAACTTATAGGTCGCAAATAAACGTGCAATATGTTCAGGCGTATCCTCATTAAAAACCAAACCTTGATTTGTAGGATCGTTCGCATATTCCGTAGTATTGTATGTATAGCCAAAACTTAGATTAAGATTGGGTATAATTTCACCACGAATCTCAGTTTCAATTCCTTTACTGATCACCTCACCCGATGCAACATTACAATAAGCCTCGCCACCATTAAATGGGCATTGGCCTTTGGTGCTTTCATCTCGTATTGAGCGATTAATTTGGTTGGTTTTAAACCCTGCAACTGATGCAATTAAACGATCATCCCAAAGCCCTGCTTTTAACCCGATTTCATAAACATTCCCCTGTACTGGATCAAGTAATGTCTCATTACGATCTTTGACATTTTGCACAACAAAAGTATCGGTATAACTCGCATATGCAGTCAATGCATCATTGATAGCGTAAGTAAGCCCAAAGTATGGTGTTAAAATATTTGATTTCTTATATTCATTGACACTTTCATAATTGCTTTGACGCACACCTGCAATAACTTTGAGCGGATCAATAATATTTAAACGAGTGGTGAGGTAGTATCCTGTCTGGCGTACCTGATCAGCGCTGGTATTTTGATAACGTGGTGCGATATAAGGTAACTGATAAGGACTGTAATTTTTAATATTGACGTATAAATAGTCACGTGTCGGTGTTTCCCCTCCACCAACCAAACTATAATCTTCTAGCACTTGGTCCCAACTTGTCCATGCCCCTGTAATATTACTTTTACTGTGATTTGCACCAAATACCAAGTCATGCTCACGACCGAATAATTGATATGTCCCTTTTGCAAAAAAATCATAAATATCTAATTTTTGCTCATAGTTATATCCGTACTTATAAACAGTTGCTAAAGCATCATCAGCACTTGTGGTTTTTGGAGCCACGCTCAATGAAGTAAATGCCATATCCATGGCATAGTTTGCCTTCATATAGCTGGCTTTTACTTCCCATCCATTATTAAATTTATGGCTTATATCTAAGAAAGCTTGTCTATTGGTTTTATCCCAAAAATCTCTGTAATCACAACCACAGTTGGAATTATCGATACCTATTTTTTGACCATTGAAATAGTTAGGAATTGTATTTACGGGAACTGCATGTTCACCTTGACGTGAATATCCAATATTCAATAGCGTATTTTCAGTTAAATCACTGCTCACGATTCCATACAAAACATTAGAATCACGAGTAACAGATTTCATAAATGAATCACCATCTTGACCTGCCACCACTAAACGACCACGCACGCTTCCAGATTGATTCAATGGACCAGAAACATCCATTTCTCCACGTACTGTGTTCCATGAACCATAACTGACAGCACCACTCGCCTGAAAAACTTCTGTTGGTTTTTTACGAATAAGATTAATTGCACCAGACGGGTCTCCTGAACCTTGCATTAACCCAGCTGCCCCTCGTAATACTTCAATACTTTCAATGGTTGCCATATCTGGTTTAGATGAGGTGACATTACTTGCATTTACAGCAACACCATCATATTGCAATATATTTGAATTCCAACCATCTCCAACATTAAAGCCTCGGATAGAAAAGTTGGTCCTCTCCGTATTATCCCCTGTTAGTAAAATCCCTGTTGTATTTAATAGTGCATCACCCAAATTTGTCGCACCCATATCTTCGATTTGTTTTCGTGTAATCACTGAAACAGATTGTGGGGTTTCTTTTACACTCAAATCGAGTTTAGTCGATGTACTGGCATTCTTTTTAGTGTAGCTATTTTCTGTATTGTTTTCTGCTGTGACAACGATCATGGGTAAAGCATTTGTTTGCTCTGTTGTTGCTTCCGTCGCAGCATAAGCTGTCCCAATCCAACAACTATAAAGTGCAAGATAAATTGCACTTTTAGCAAAGATTCGATTTTGAGAAATACATTTATTCACGAAATAAAACTCTTAATCTAAATAAAAATCATTATCGTTATATTTCACATAAAAACAACATATATCTCTACATTCCTCCATTATTTTCTAATTCAAATTCGTTTTGTTAGACAAAGCTATAAAATGAACAGCCTTTCAATCTGAAAGGCTAAGAATAAGGTTACTAGATAATATTACTGAATAAACTTTGACATGACGTGATGTGTACTCCCCCACCTTAGCGTAAATCATGTCATTGTATTTATTTGATAATTACCTTAAAAAAATATAAAAAATAATTAATACTTTTCAAGCAAACCAATGATTCCAGTCGCGATCATATCAATCGCAATTGTGCCGATTAACAAGGCAGATAAACGTCCAACAATATCAAAATAGCGATCAATATATTTTGCATGGCTATAACGTAAGTGGTCATGCCCATACTTCATGATCATTAAAATGCCACAGCTAATAAATAAGGTAAAAGCGATCAACACAGCGGATTCGAGTAAAGACATACTCGCTCCTGTTACGACAGCCGCACTGATTGTGCCAGGACCAATCATAAATGGCATCGCCATGGTACTGGCCAAGTGTGCAGGTGTTCCTCTCATTTCTCCGATGGTATCCGCACCTTGAAATACAAACCGATAGCCAATCACTAAGAAAATTAATCCACCAAAAATCTGAAATGATTCAAAACGAACATTTAAATAAGTACTAAAAATGGCTTCACCACCCCATGCAAAAAGCATAAAAACCACATAAGCAATCAAGGCACCTTGGGCTAAACCTTTATTGAATACATGGGTTTCAGTATGGCGAATCATCCCGATCATATAGATACTCATTAAAAACGGATTGAGTAATGAGAAAAACAAAACAAATGGATGGATATAATTTGAAAACATAATGGCTTTCCATAAAACAAAATCAGGAAACAGAATCAAAAAAAGAGCTTACTTTGCTAAAATTGTACTTCTCCACAAGGGGATACTTTGTCTAACTAATCATTAAAATTGTAAATTTTATTAAGATTCAGCAACTTATTTTTACAAAAAATATTACATTTACTCAAAAAATGCATAACCTTATAAAATTGACTCATTTTTATCTATAAAAAATATTTATACAGTTTTTTAGCGCCCATTTAAGCTAGGCACTGGTTATAACTCATATTGCACCCATTAGCATTTGGATTGTTGATAAAATTATACTTAACGGCTGTTTATTGCTTTAGTCATCATCCAAATACCTATTTCTAGTCTCAACATTTTTTAGCATCAGTTTGGCGTTGCGCCCTGCTAAAATAATTCTAGCTAAGCAGACACAACTATTATTCACAGCCCTTTTGATTATTTTATATACGTTAAATTTATTACACAATTACATCAGATCTCATACATTTTGTTCATGATTACCCAACACATAAAATTCACAAAAAAACTAAAATTATAATCAATTGATATTTATTAAAATTCTATGAAATTGAAATCTTAAATGTAACCTAGCGTTATATTTTTTAATCATTTCTGCTCATGATGAATTTTATTTTTGATTGTGTTTTAACGCGTTTTTTAACACTGTCATTCATTAGGATTAAGCCATTTATGTATAAAAGAAAAATCAAACCACTTGAAATCGATGATGTCGAAATTATTGATTATGATAAGACTAAAAAAGCCATTAAAGCTGCAGCTTTAGGGAATGCCATCGAATGGTTTGATTTTGGTGTGTATGGCTATGTCGCTTATGTATTGGGTAAAGTCTTTTTCCCCAATTCATCACCCAGTATACAAATGATTGCGGCCCTTGCCACCTTTTCTATACCCTTTATATTTCGACCTTTGGGTGGATTATTTTTCGGGCATTTAGGTGATAAATACGGTCGTCAAAAAATTCTGGCAATCACCATTATTATCATGTCAGTCAGTACCTTTGGTATTGGCTTGATTCCATCTTATGAAAGTATCGGGATTTGGGCCCCTATTTTGCTGCTCATTGTAAAAATTGCTCAAGGCTTTTCAGTCGGAGGAGAATATGCTGGAGCAGCAATATTTGTAGCGGAATATTCTCCAGATCGAAAACGTGGTTTCATGGGAAGCTGGCTGGATTTTGGTTCTATTTTAGGTTTTGTTGTTGGAGCGGGCGTCGTTTCAATGATCAGCTTTTCCATGGGCGAAGCTGCCTTTGTCGATTGGGGCTGGCGTATCCCTTTTTATTTAGCGCTACCGCTGGGACTGATTGGCTTATATTTACGTCACTCTTTAGATGAGACACCAACCTTTCAGGCACATGCCGAAGAACAGTCACAATCTAAAAAACCGCAAAAAGTGGGTTTCAAACAAATTTTTCGTGAACATAAGCGCAGTCTATTGGTCTGTGTTGGACTCGTACTGTGTACCAATGTCACCTACTACATGCTACTCACCTATTTACCAAGTTATTTCTCACATAACTTAGGCTATTCAGAAAATCACGGCGTTCTGATTATTATTGCAGTAATGGTTGGAATGCTCTTTGTACAGCCGTTTGTAGGCATGCTTAGCGACAAGATTGGTCGTCGCCCATTTGTCTTTGCAGGCAGCATTGCCCTAATTGTCTTGTCATACCCTGCCTTTATATTGCTTGCCACCAATAATGTTTACTTAATTTTCTTGGGTCTGTTGATGTTAGCACTTTCACTGAATATGTTGATTGGAATAATGGCTTCAACCCTACCCGCATTGTTTCCAACTGAAATTCGTTATAGTGCACTTGCAATCGCGTTTAATATTTCTGTGGTGATTGCTGGTTTAACCCCGACCATCACAGCAGCATTGGTTGAAACCACTCAAAATATTATGGTGCCTGCCTATTATTTGGTAATTTGTGGTTGCTTTGGGGTGATTACTGCGATTTATCTTAAAGAAACAGCCAACTTGCCGCTCAAAGGTGCAAAACCAATGGCCGTTGATACTGAAGAAGCTGAAGAACTTCTCGAACAATATCATGGAAATATTGAGCAAAAAATCGAAAAAATTGATCAAAAAATTGAAGAGTTGCAAGAAAAACGTGATCATCTCGCCAAGCAACATCCTGATATTGATTAATGGTCTTAAATGGGCTTATTCAATAGAATTGTGTTGGATAAGCCTCTAGCTTAGATTGATTATTCTTTGTAGCAAGTAAAACATAAGGATGCTGGAGTGGATGATATAAATGCCACGAAAATATTAAAGTGCCCAATGAAATTGATTGAGCGTTTTATGACATAAGTGTCGTTCTATTACAGGATAAGACAATATGGCAGAATTAAAGAAATCATCTTTTTTTCTTACGCTTTTTTATTTTGCTGTTTCTTTTTGAAGAAATAATTTTTCCAGTCCCCAATCCACGGAAAAAGTAATTGCCAAGATAAATGAATAAAAGAAAGAAATAAAAAATAGGAGAGATACTGAACAAGCTCATGATCAATTCCCAGAACAATACGCCTATTCGATAGTTGTAACTCCATTCTATGAGTGCACCTTTACGACTACCACTTTGGAATGAAATTTCATCATGAACAAAATGCCAAATACTACCAAGAAAACATAAAATAAAAATGCTCGAAACTAATGTTTTTTTGATTATTGGTTTTTCTAACCAAGGATATTTATATGAAGAAGAGAATTCGAATTGTACGAATAAACTGTAAATCTTTTTTTGGAAGTTTTCCTGAATGCCATACTTTTTTAAGAATAACCAGCAGACATAACAACTTAAGAAAAACATAATCACTGTAATGTATATACTAGAAAGAATAGTAAAAAATGGTAGTGGTCCTTTTGTACCCACTGTAATCAACAAATTCTGTGTGATGTACTTATAAATGGAATATTGCCAATCATTTCTTGGATATGCGGGAAATAACAATAAAGGCGGGATAAATAGAAGAATTGAAAGTTGCAAAAGTAATTTATTTTGTCTTTTTTGCTTTGCTTGATATTCTTGCATTTCTGGTGATAGATAAGGCTTTTTAGACATTTTTAACTTTAAAATTTAAAATCATTTTACATTTACTAAGATCTAACTCTACCCTAATCATTAAAGCAATCAATTGTTAATCAAAATACTTAAAACTTCTTGAGAAGCATTATTAACTTAAAAAAGAGCTAATGAAACATTGTCGTTGACCTTCAATGCTCCAAAGCCTCTAATAAAACATTTATTTTTTATCCAAGGAGTATCGGCCAGGTCCTGTTAAACTTAACAAAAAGAATCCAGCAGCAATACTTATGTTTTTATAAAAATTGATCATATTCGACTGGACAAGTTCCGAGGGAACTTGCCAATAGGCATGACCTAATATTGCAGACCCAATCGTATAAAATGCAAAAATAATCGCAATAGGTCTAGTATAGTAGCCGATCAATATAAATATAGGAGCTACAACCTCCATTACAACTGCGATAAATGCAGCTAGAGTTGAAAATGGAATATTTAAAGATTGCATATAGTGGATTGTTTGTTCAAAGTTAATAAGCTTGGGAATCCCTAGCTTTATGAACAATACTACAAGTAATACACGTGCTATCAATAAAATATAAAATTTTGAATTCACAAAATCGTAATATCGCAGCGTATTTAATTTCATGGTATGTAAACCTTTTTTAAAAACTATTTCTCATATAGTTTCAAGAGTGACAGGGAGAATCTAAGCCTTAAATACATCATTTTGCTATTTAAAAATAATTAAATACTCCTTAGATACTGGGTAAATCATCAGTTATCGATATTTTGTTTGAATCACGAGTGTCATAATCACAAGCATTGATGGAACTGCAGCAGCAATAAAGAGATGCGTAATATCCATGTGTTTAGATAAATATCCGCCAAACAATGGTCCAATTACTGAACCTAAACGTGCTATTCCAATACTCCATCCCACCCCAGTAGTACGTAGTGAAATAGGATAATAACTAGCAGAAAACGCATTGATCGCTGGCTGACCACCAACAATTGCAAACCCTGCAATAAAAACAACCACATATAAAAGTAAAGGATTACTAATTGAATAACCAATCACGGCTACGCTCAATACGCCAGTAATAAATACTGGAATAAGTACCTTATAAAATCCGACTTTATCTATTTTCAAACCCATCAAAATACTGCCAAAGGCTCCTCCCAACTGTAGAATGGAACCAATCAGTAAGGCCTGGTTTAAATTTAAGCCTGATTCTTTGGCAAGCATCGGTAACCAGTTCGCTAAAAAATACAAACTAATCATATTCAAAATGCTTATTATCCAAATGGTGTAAGTAAAGAATGCACGGTTTTCTTTAAATAGTTCTAAAGGTGATTGTTTTGTTTTCAGGATCAAGGGATTTAAAATTTTAAGTTCTGAACTAAAATTTAGCTTTGGATAGAATTTTTTTAGCCATAATAATGCTTTGTGATCATTATTCTTGCTTACCATAAATTGTAAGGATTCTGGCAACGTGAACAGCATAATAAAAAAATGATCAGGGGAATAATTCCACCAAAATAAAAGATCGCATGCCATCCACCAATTGGCGTCAATAAAGCAGAAATTCCACCGCCTAGCATTGCTCCAACTGTATAACCGCATGAAATAACCATCATGGTCAAAATACGATACTTACTTGGCACAATCTCGGAACTATATGCCATAACATTAGGCATAATTCCTCCTAAGAAAATTCCAGTCACAAAACGTATGATGGTCAATTGTTCTACACTACTAACACTTGGTGTGAGTAACATCAGCACAGAAAAAGCTAGAGTTGAAATAAGTAAAATGGGACGGCGACCAAAACGGTCTGCTAAAGAACTTAAAAATAGTGAGCCTATAAATAAACCAAAAAGGCTGGCACTAAATACGACCCCCAACATGGTTTTATCAATGTGCCAATGTTCCATGATCAAAGGCGCAGCATATGCGATTGCTTGAATATCATAGCCATCCATAACCATCAGTAGCAAACAGGTCAATAAGATAAACTTCTGATACCTTCCTATTTTTTGTTGATCAATAAAATCATTTAATGCAACTTCTTTCATGGTAATTCCTTCTACATCGCTGCAACAATAATTACTTATTTCATAATTCAATTATACTATTCGTAAATTAAAGAAAGTACAAAAATCAGATACAATCTATATCATTTTAAATTTCAAATAAAAAACAATAACTTAAATCAATAAATATTTTTTTAAAATGGAGTTTTTTTACAAGATGTATTCATTATTTTTTTCCTTAGCTAATTCTCAAGTTAAAAATAGAAAAGCCACATCAAAAATGTGGCTAAAGGGAGTAAATTAGAGAGGATTTTGCTTAAGCTATATTGATCCAAAACAAAATCGGATGAAAACTACGCATGGTTTTCGATCTATAACTCTACATTCCGTGATAGGTTGGTAAATCAAATTGATTATTATTGTGGATTCTATGAACATGATCTAAAACATAAACTTTCATATAAAGTTGAAACTGCATATCTACATGAAAAAGATCTTAAAAACATAAAGCATTAACGAGAGCCTTAACCAAGTATATTCAGCTATAAAATTGAAGCAATAATTTACTTAAATTCTAAATTTATGCTTATGACTATAACCAACCTCAAATATGGCAACTTTTAAAATTTATATATTCATAATTTATCAATTACTTTTTATAAAATTTTCAGCTAAATAGTTATAGAGCAATTTAATTCGTTTTGGTGTTGGCCCCAATTGTGGGCGATATAAATACAATCCCCATGGAGATGACTTAACATTTTTCATGACTTCTATAGCAGTACCTTGCTGAATCATCGGTAATGCCAAAAATTCTGGAATATGAGCAAAACCAATACCATCAACTATTGCCTGACAATAAGCATCAAGGTCATTGGTTGAAAAAAATGGCGAGCTAGGTAAAAAAGTTTGATCATATTCAAACCCCCAAAACCAATATTGATTTAAAGATAAATTTTCAAAGGCAATAATAGGAAAACTATCTAAATCGCCAATCTGATAAGGCTGTCCAACTCTTTTTATGAGCTCTGGTGAACCCACTACACGAAAACCGATATTCATAACTTTTCGTGACACAAAGCGATTGTCATTTAAAAAGCCAACACGAAGTCCAATATCTATTTGATTTTCAATTACATCACTGTGTTCATCAGTCAAAATACAACTGACCTTTATATTTGGATATTCAGTCTGAAACTTTGTAATTAAAGGTATAACTAAGTGTCGACCAAATGCAGTTGGCATCGTTAAACGAATATGACCAGAAATATTCTGATTGGATTCATGAGTACTATTTTTCACCAATTCATTAATTTGTTTTAGTAAAGGCTGAGCTTGTATTAACAACTCTTCCCCTGCACGGGTAATTTTATGGCCTCGTGTGCTCCGATAAAAAAGAATTTCTCCTTTTTGATCCTCTAATTCCTGTATGGCACGTGTAATTGATTGAGGCGATTTCCCCAACTTTACGGCAGCTTTTTTGAAATTTTCAGTATTCGCCACTGTACAGAAAATTTTAATCAGTTCGAAATAATTACTCATAACTTATTCCAAAATATGGAATTAAGAAATCCAAATTGTATCATTTTTTTTGATTTATTATTTAAGTATATTTAATTTTTAACTTTGTTATTACAGGTATAGCAATGAAAGCACAAATCTTAAAAAGCTATGATATCAAGGAATTTAGTCTGGTTGAAATTCCAATTCCTGAGATTCATTCGCATGAAGTTTTGGTCAAAATTCATAGTAGTGGTGTTAACCCTATCGATTATAAAATCCGTGAAGGGGCAGCACCTTATGCAGATCCTATTCTCCCCACCATACTCGGAACAGATCTTGCTGGTGAGGTTATAAAGGTAGGTGAAAATGTTAAAAACTTTATCGTTGGAGATGAAGTATATGGTTTGGCTGGTGGTGTCCGAGGATTACAAGGCACCTTAGCTGAATATATTGCTGTAGATGCAGATTTACTTGCAATTAAACCTAAAAATTTATCTATGCGGGAAGCTGCTGCCTTACCTTTGGTTTTTTTAACAGCTTGGGAAGGCCTTGTGGATAGAGCTCAAGTTAAAAAGGGGGATTCCGTCTTAGTTCAAGGTGGTGCTGGTGGTGTTGGTCATATGGTTGTGCAGCTTGCAAAAGCTAAAGGTGCGGAGGTATATGCAACAGGTAAAGCACACAATCGTAAAATGATTGAAGATCTTGGAGCAATAGCTATTGATTATGAGACACAAAGTGTTGATGATTATGTTCAAAAACATACTGCGGGTCAGGGGTTTGATATTATTTATGACACTGTTGGTGGTAATACTCTTGCTACGTCCTTATCAGCAATTAAATCATATGGGCACATTTCTAGTTGCTACGCCTTTAGTGAAATAAACTTAGCCCCTTCATCTTTACGAGCTGCAACGCTTTCAGGTGTTTTCGTCCTCTTACCGCTACTCACTGGTCAAGGTCGAGCACACCATGGTGCTATTTTGCGACAACTGACTGAATATGTTGAGTCAGGGAAAATTCGCCCTATTGTTGATCATCATACTTTTAGTTTGGAAAATGCTCTTGAAGCGCATGATTTTTTAGAAAGTGGGGCAGCGTCAATCAAAGTAGTCATTGATATTATTTAACTAGCTCGGTTTAGGACTAAACATAGTCAAAAAAAGATCCTTGAAAATTTAAGGGTCTTTTTAAATATTTGGCGGAAGTAGCGACTGTCAAATTAAAACAATAATACATTGATATAAAATATTTTTAATTTAGTTTTCTATTAGCTGCTGTGACATTTCATAAATAGCTTACGTTGTAGGCTAAAATTGAGCATGAGACGTATACGTCGAAATGCATGAATAAGAATAGCGAGACTGTATACTCAACCTCCCTTTTCAAAAAGGGAGGTTGAGTTGTCTAGTTGAGTATAGGTTTCAGATGAGCAGTTTCCTCCCCACCTTCATTTACGACTTAATACTTATATTTCACACTAAGCATAAAATTACGTGGCTCACCATACACCCCAGAGTTATAGAAGCCGATGTTGGTAAAGTAGTGTTGGTCAAAAATATTATTTAAATTAATCGCAGTACTTAACTGTTCATTAAACTGGTAGTTGGCCATTAGATCGACCAATACAAAGGCTTTCTGATCAATCACTTCACTACGCTTTTTGACATTGTTATACACCGTTTGCCATCCGTGGTTCTGCCAACGAACATTCCCACCCACACTTAAACCATCGAGTTGCTGATCAAATTTATACTGGGTTGAGACATTAAATTGATGTTCTGGTTCCCATGTTGAAATCTTCTCACCATCATTGTCCTTAATTTGCTTGTAGGTATAACCACTTTGCACTTGGACATTGGGGAAAACCTCACCAGAAGCTTCAATCTCTACCCCCTTAGTTTTGGCTTTCGCACCAATCCATGCAAAATCAACAGCGGGATTACTTGGCGCACCATTATAAACAATGTCCTCAATGGCACGATTGGATTCATGGATTTCAAAATAAGCGATACTGGCATTTAACTTGGCATCATCAGATTGAAACTTAAAGCCGCCTTCGTAGTTTTTACCTTCGTCTGGATCTAGGATTTTATTGGTTGAAGACTTATACCAGATATCATAAGGCATAAAGATATCGCTAAGACTGGCATAAGCACTGACTCGATCAGTGATGTCATAGACGACCCCAACGTAGGGAATGAAGCGGTTCTTTTCCTCGACTACACCTTGTAAACCTTTCATTTTATAGTTGATCATACGGGTACCTAAGAGCACCTTTAAATCATCCGCCAGATTTAAACGAGTACTGGCGTAGGCACCATATTGAGTAGTACGGTCATGGGTATAGGCATTTGGCTCACCCCAATTTGGCTGTGCAATATTGCCATCCCATTGGCTAAAATCGGGAATATGTGAATCATAACCCTGCATGCCACCATACCAATCTTTCCCCTTCCAACGTGAATAAGCCCCACTTGCGCCTAAGACCAAATCATGTTGCCGACCAAGCAGCTCAAACTTACCTGTGCTATACAACTCCAATGAATCACTGACGGTACGACCGATATATTGAGAAGGCCAAAGATTAGCAGAACCATCTAATTTAGGATAATAGCCTTGGATAGTGCCTAGTGTTGCATCATAGCCATTAATTTTATGGTCATATTGCAGAGTCAGTGCCCAATCATCATTAAATTTATGATGGACATTGGCAAAAATGGTACGGGTATATTGTTTCCATTCACTCCAATTGGCACCATTATTAAAGGAGCGATCTGGATCTGGATTACGTTCCCCAGCACCATTAAATAAAGGGAAAGAGCCTGACCATGTCGATGCTTTAGGGTCATTGTTCTGGTAATCTGCACCCAGTGTAACTAAAGTTTTATCGCCTAAATCTGCTTCGACAATGCCATAAAATACAGCACTTTTACGTTCATAACGATCCATAAAAGATTCTTTGTCTTGACCCGCAGCCACAAAACGTCCACGAATACTTTGCTCATCATTCAGTGAACCACTGACATCTGCCATAGCACGGTAATTATTCCAAGAACCAGCGCTTAAACTCAGCGATGCTTGAGTCTCTGCGGTTGGTTTTTTTCGTACCAAGTTGATGGTTGCACCCAAAGAACCTACCCCTGTAAGTAAGCCCGTTGCCCCTTTAAGGACTTCGATACGGTCATAAATAGCAGAGTCACTGAGCGTATTACCCGCGGCATAACCGACATTTCGAGTCGTTGAAGGAATGCCATCATATTGGAAATTATTAATGGCAAAACCGCGTGAGTAATAACTGGTCCGTTCACTGTCGTAAGCTGATACGGTAATCCCGGGTGTATGCGACATGACTTGATCAATATTATTTAACTGAAAATCATCCATCAACTGTCGCGTAATCACACTAATGGTTTGTGGTGTTTCTTTCGGTGTAAGCACTAAACGCGTGGCAGTGGCAATTTTACCTGGCGTATAAGAACCACTATTTTCAGTAATTTCCCCCAACTGATTGGCAGTCACGACAATGGTCTCAAGTTTCGCTGCTGGATTGTCCACGTGAGAATTTGTTGCCACGGCTGAATCCGTTGCCGTGTTTGCAACTGTTGTGGTTTTCGACATCTGACGTCGTTCAATTCGCCACACCCGTGGACTTTGTTGAACAAGCTGTAGATCTGTGTCTTTTAATAACTGTTGAAAACCCTGAGCAATATCAAAACTGCCGCTTAAACCGTTTGTTTTATACCCCTGCGTCAGTTTCGGATCAAAAGACAATGCAATATTAGACTGTAGAGCAAAATTAGAAAGCGCTTGTCCCAAATCCCCTGAAGCCACTTGATAATGCTTTTGAGTTAATGCTGTTTCAGCATGGCTAAATGCACTGACACCCAACATGCTACTCAGTACCAATAAATGCATGACCGAATAACGCATTTTTTTCTCGCGGCTTATTTTATATGGTTTCGGTTTTTTCAAATTTTTTGCGTGTTGCAATGCTAGAGACACCATAACCCCCTATTGAATACCAATGAGTTCTCTTATTAGCCTTGCCAGTTGAGTTTTAAAAAAGTGTCAGCATTAAATTATTTTTTTTCACCAATACTGACCCAATAGCCTTGTGCATAGCGATTGATGTCTAACTTATAGGTGACAGCCAACATGCTATATAGCGTTGGTAAATCATTGATTGGATAAGTCCCAGATATTTTAATCTGAGCAATATCATCATCTAAAGCAATATAACCTTTTTGATATTTTCCTATACGCTGTACGAATTCAGACAACGGCAGATCATTCACGATCATCCAGCCCTGCGTCCAACTGTTGCGTGTAAGATCAGCACTTGTAACCTCGGCGACCTGCTCGCGATTCAAATAACTTTGCTGACCCGCCGCAACAATCACTGCCTGAGTTGGATGACGTTGTGGTTGTAATTTCACCGCACCTTGCTCAACGAACACCCAAGACTGCTTTGAATCAAGCTCTACTGAAAATTCAGTACCCAAAGCCTGCATTTGCCCATGTTGAGTTTGCACAAAGAATGGGCGTTGCTGTTGATCTTTTGCAGTTTTAATCCAGATCTGACCTTTTCTTAGCACGACATTACGTTGCTTAGCGCTATAGTCCAGATCAATTGCCGATGCGCTGTCTAAATACAGTTCACCGCCATCGGGGAGTTTAATTTTTTCAATTTCACCCACTTTTGTACGATAGTCTGCCGTCCATTGTTGCTGCTGATTTAAGCTATAGCCTAAATACAGTAACGATAGACCAGCCAAAACCCACATGTAATGACGGCGTTTTCTCCATGAAGATGATATGCTTTGCTTTAAAATAGGTCGTGCCACTTCGGTTGGCAGTTGATCAAAAGTATGATGCAGTTGCTGCATTTTTTGCCAAACTTTGGCATGCACTGAACTTTGCTGCTGCCAGATCAGCAATTGCTGTAATTCTTGCGGACTCAACTCACCTTGGCTTAAACGCATACACCAATCAGCCGCTTCATTTAAAATTTGTTGCGTCTGTTGTTGATCTTGTTTTGAGTCTGATTTTTGATTGTGTTGTTGTTCAGATTCATTCTGCTTTGACATTCGCTTAGTCGTCCAGCATGGCAGACAGGCAATGTACATACGCTTTTTTCATATAGCGTTTGACTGAACTTAGGGAAATATCCAATTTGACTGCAATCTCATCATATTTCAGCCCTTCAAGCTGCGCATAGAGGAAAGTATCGCGTACCACCGCAGGTAGTTGCTCTAGCAATTGTGTCACTTCAAGCAAACTTTCGATAATCAAACAGTGCTGTTCTGGAGAGATTTCTTCGAGTTCAGGTTGTAGCGCCAGCACGTCTAAATATGCTCGCTCAATATGCTTCCGTTGAATCCAATTGATCATCAAGCCTTTGGCTACAGTGGTCAAATAAGCACGTGGTTGCAATAATTCAATTTGCTGTCGTCGTGCCATCACTCTTAAGAAAGTATCTTGTGCCAAATCAGCTGCATCAGAGCTATTGCCTAACTTTTTATATAGCCATGTATATACCCAAGAATGATGTTCTTGATAAAGTTGAGCAATATCATGATTGGGAAGCGACGCAGACATGGAAAAATTTTATTTAAGCGAATGATAATTATTATCAGTAATTTAATCGCTAAATTCAATCATTATTTTCATCTAAACCACGTCCTCGCCCAATTCGCTTTTTTTGCACAAACTCAAGCTACATATCATCCATAAAGGCCTATCATCGACAATGGCATAAACTCCACGGATGAAATTAAAATTTTTAAGAATTAAAGATCATCTATTAAGGAAGTATTATTTTTTCATCATGGTTAATTTATAGGGATTTTGATTGTGCTTTTAACTCAATTAAAATAACTGTGCACTAAATAAAGATCGCATCAATTAAACGAAAAAAGACAAGAAATTGATATTTTCGATATGAAAAAAAACGTGATGTAAAATCATCACGCTTTATTTTTATTTATTAATTCCATTCAGCAATCGGTGTTGGCATATGTAGTGCCAACTGAGCATCTTTGATCACATCCATTCGTAAGATTTTTTTAGCACCGAGTTGATCCAATAATTGACTGACTGGACCACCATAACGATTTAACTCAACATGTTTTGGAAATAACTTTTGAGCAAAATTTTGGTTATTTGCCTGAACATATGAACGATACCAAATACCATCAACTTGATTCAGCATGGTTTTCTTTTCTTGCTGTGATTGATTTTTTACAGTTTTAAGTTTTGGTGTTGGCGCAGATAGGCTGATGTCGAGATTGCCTTGAGTATCATACAAGTGCGCTTGGACCTGATCAGTTATTTTTAAATCAATTGCAGTGAGCCACTTGGGTAAATTATAACCATAAACACCACGTACACGTGCAATTTCAGTATCGACAGGAAGCGCAAGGACATAACCATAATAATCGCGTGTACGTGCAGATTTGATTAACTCTGAAATATTGGCGCCTTTTGCATGAGGACGGCGAACCACAACAGCAACAGATACTTCATCATAAGGATCGTTATCACAGACATCATAGGCAAAAAAAGTAAGTGAGACCAATCCATATCCAGGTATTGGGCTTAAGGGTTCAACTTTAGCAGGCAACTTTGCTTTTAACTTATCTAATGGTGCAAGCATCAACAGTTGAACATTGCTGGTTTTATAATAATAGTTTGGCGACCACACTTGACCTATACGTGTTTCAACCAGTTGCTTAGGAATCTTTCTAAAGAAATCAATATTGCCCACACCAGATTCTTTTGCAACCTCATCTAAATTTGGTTGCATATGAAATCGGTCATAAAAACCACCTTTAGGAACCTGTACCTTATGCGGTCCAAATTCAACCTCTACAAACGCTTTTGCATTTGGATACTGAGTGGTTGGTTGCTTTGCATTAACTCGATTGGTCGTTACAGTATTTATGTTTTGCATCGCTGTATTCTCTTGTAAATGTGAGATGTAACTGAGCTGATTGTTTGGTGTAAGATCATTTGCTGCAAAAGCAGAATGTACGAATGCAAAACTCATAAAAAGTATTTGAGTTGTTCGATTTAAATTAAAAAATTTCAACATAGCTTTCACTCTAATTCAGCATTGAGTTCATGCTATGTTTAAAGTGGACTTCAAGGTCAATAGGGTTTATTTGTTTTTTAATTCAATTTGAATTGTGATTAAAATTCATGCACAAAAAACCGCAGCTTAAATTTAAAATGATGAATATATTTGATTGCACTTGCAAAAGATCAAATTAAAGCAAATGCTAAATAACACAAAGAGACAGCACTTTATTGGTAAAATGCCATTAATCTAAAATAGACAAAAGATTAAAAAACAGGCTTGACCTTAAAGCTAACTTTAATCCTATACTCACGATGAAACAACTCACAGGAAATCTTGATGACAAATACTTGGGTTATTAAGCATCGTATAATTCAACAGTTATTGGTTGTTTTAGCAGCATTATTTTCAATGCCTTTTGCATCTGCGAATGATAACAGTAGTTCAAAATCGATTTCGAACCCATCTTTGTCAGGATCTAAAGGAAAAATATTGGTTGTGATGACCAATCATGACAAATACCCTTCACGTAAAGATACTACAGGGCTATGGGTGACTGAGCTCACACATTTCTATGACGTTGCGCATAAAGCGGGTTACCAAATGGATTTTATTAGCCCTAAAGGAGGTGCAGTGCCACTGGATGAGCGTAGTCAAAAATGGATCTATATGGATAAACAAGCACACGCTTATTTAGCCGATCCTGCGTTTATGTCACGGTTAAATAACACCTTGCAGCCAAGTGAGGTAAAAGCGTCTGACTATAAAGCAATATATTTTACTGGCGGTCATGGCGTGATGTGGGACTTTCCAAATAATCCTGAATTAACCGCACTAGCTGAACAAATTTATCGTCAAGGCGGTGTAGTATCCGCGGTATGTCATGGTGTGGCAGGTATACTTTCCCTAAAAGATGAACAAGGCAAAGCACTCATTGCAAACCGTAAAGTGACAGGATTTTCAAATCGTGAAGAATCGCTTTCAGGGATGAAAAAACAAGTACCCTTTTTCCTTGAAAATCAGTTGAAATCAAAAGGTGCAAAATATTCTCAAGGATTCTTCCCATTTACCTCTTATGCCATTGTCGATGACCGCATTATTACAGGTCAAAATCCTCAATCACCACGTGAAGTAGGCGAAGAAGTGATAAAAAAATTGGTGACTATACATTAAATGAAATTAGCTAGATTGGACATATTTTGTAAGTGAAAGCTTGCAAAATATCACTTCATCTTAAAGTACTTGTGTGACACCAATAAAAATTTTCAACGCTTAAAAAACAGACATAATCCTAATCAAATTAAAAGACATTTCATTAATTAACAATAAATATCAATATGCTAAACAGAAATATTATGTTGACTCAGTTTTTGTATTAGATTAGTATTTTTAATGTAAATAATTATCATTATCATATAACCAACAAAGCATTGTCCTTTCTAGCCACGATGATTGTCCATTTTTTTATCAAGCAAAGGATAAAGCAATGTTGTTATCTAAAATGAAAATAGGTCATAAAACCCTGATTGCCAGTTCAATCTGTACCATTCTTACAGGTTGTGGTGGGGGTGGCAGTGGTAGTGGAGACAGCAAACCGAGCAATACTGCCCCAACAATTGATGCGATCAGCCCAGTGACCGTACAAACCCTGGAAAGTAAAAAAATTAGCGTAACGGCAAAAGATGCTGAAAACAACGCGCTTACCTATAGCATTAAAACAGCGCCAAAATTAGGCACTGCAAGCATTGATAGTAAAACAGGTGTGATCACTTATATTGCAGGCAATGTGGTCGGTGCAGATACACTTGTGGTGAGTGTCAGTGATGGTTCACTTAGCACAGATCTGAGCATTACGATTAATACTCAAGTTGAATCGGTGTTTGATTATCAATTCTACAAAGTCACCAACCCAGATACTGGTAACTCTCAAATTGTCCGTTATGACCCTAATAACGACAAACAGGACTCTTACAACAGCATCAACAACGTGATTTTAGGCAATCGTGTCTTTGTGATGAGTGCTGCAAAAGATGGCGATAAAACAGTTTATAAAAAACGTGAATATGGTATTTTCCTTGACCCAAATGCTTCTAAAGAAACACGTACTTACACTCCAGCTGGCAAAACAACTGCAACTGAATACACATTCTATACCGACAATATTCTGAAACGTTTTGATGCAAGCAATCCAAACAGTCAAGCCACCATTTTTAGTAGTGCAGCATTACCAGCAGCATTAAAAACTGCAGAAATGAAGGCGATTGGTGATACACAAACTATGTATCTCAATGAAACTGATATTAATAACTCCTATGTGCAATTGCGTACTTTTGCCAAACTACCCGATATTTTTAGAGGCGAACTGTCTGACAATATTAAAAATGCCTATATCACTGTACGTTTATCAGATGGCAAAGTGACACAAGGTCGAACCATTAAGCCAGTTGTCAATAACAGCACAGGTAAAACTGATTCGGTATTGGTCAACTATAGTGCTGCCTATGTCAAAGGAAGCTACCCAACCGCAAGTAATGAAGCTGCGCGTTTACAAAGCTGTACCGTTGATTTAATCACCTGTACTGATATTAGTGGCGGGACAGGTCAATACTACTTCTTAGCACAAAACGATACCCATATTTATTTGGCAAAAGAAGGTGTAAAAACACTTTATGCTTATGATAAAACTGCAAAAACCTTAACGAATGTAACAGGTGCAGAATATCCTGCGAATTATAACCCTGAACATCATCAAATTAAATTTGGTGGTGGGCATGGTGGTTCTGGTATCTTTAGTAATTTCTTTAACATGCCAAATGTAGTCGATAATTTGGCAGAAGGTAATACCGGTTATTTATTGATTAATTATAACTTTGATACACAAAATGCAGCGATCACCCATAGAATATTTGGCAAAGCCTATGTCTTTAAAAATGCCGAAATTCTGAAATTGACAGGCACCAGTGCAAGCAAAATTTATGATAATGGCACTGGTACTGATTTAGCCAATAATTCAAGCAATGTGGCTCTGTCATATAATCTCAACCTGACTGCGGTCAAAAATGGTTATTTATTTGTCGAAGCGGCCAAGTTATCTAAAGACAAGATGAATCTCAATTATCAACAAGGCTGGTTAAATACTGCAACCACAACCACAAAAACAGCGTTGGATAATGCTGTTATTGATCAGGATATTCCATACTTTACTTCAATGCGGGTACCTGCTGTGGCAGTAGGTGATTATGTCTATGTCAATGAGACCAATCCAACTGCCTCAGAAACCCGTGTTTATAACGTTTATAAATTACCACTCGATGCGCCAACAACCAGCAAAACCAGCGTCTCCCCAACGTTTGGCCGTATGTACTTTGAACGCACTGCATTCCGTGCCAATGGTGTTTATGAAGGTAATGTATTGTTATGGAACAAACGTGCCAATCAAGCAACAGATCCAACTGACACAGTCGGTAGTATTGTCAATGCCACCACGGGCAAACTCATGGGTAAAATCAAGGATTTAGAGGGTGGAGGTGGAATTACCAATGTCACTGCTGACGCTTCAGGTAATGTCACGTTGGCTGGGATTGGTGGTCTATTTGGCTTGCATATGACGGGTAGTCATGCTGGTGTTCCTATACTGACTAGTGGCTTCTCAGAAAAAGAAAAGTCATTGAAAAAAGTTAATCATATTAATGGTTCTTGGATCACTGACTAATCCATACATAGCTTATTCAATCGGGTTGCTGTTGCTATTCTTAAGATGGGGGCAGCAACCCTGCGTTTATTTTGACTGGATTTCTGTCATGAACACACCTCCCTTTCTCCCACGATATCTATTATTGACCCTGTGTATTGCTGGTGGATACTCTCCCTTCTATCATCTCTATGCAGCAGATAATAAGAAAGATACAGACATAAATGATGAACAACCTACTAAACTGCCTGTCATTGAAGTTACAGCAGAAAAAGTCCTCAAGGCAGAGCGACAAAATCAACAAGAAATGTTTAACAAACCCTATTCCAAACAGATCATCAGTCAGGAAAAAATTCAGCAGGAAGGCTTAACCGATGTCAAAGAAGCGATTCGGGATATTCCTGGTGTTTCCATTACCGAAACTGGGGCTTTCGGTAAAAATGTAAAAATTCGTGGTCTGACTGGGCAACGCGTGGTCAGTGTTGTCGATGGCATCAAAATCGCCAATCAAGGTTTAGATCACTCAGGTTCTGGTGAAATCAATCAGGTGGATATTAACAACGTTGAAATGATTGAAGTGGTAAAAGGAAGTCCTGCGGTGATTTATGACCCTGGGGCATCAGGTGGCGTCATTATCGTCAAGACCAAACCAGTACAAATGAATCAAGGCATTGGGGTCAGTCAAAAATTCGCTTATGATGAAGGCTATGACAAAACCAGTTCCACCACCAGTCTAAACGCAGGCATGGATAATTTTGGTGCAAAGGTCACTTATACCAAAGAATCTTCCAATGACTATCGGGTTCGTGGTGATGCTGATAAAAAATATGCGATTAGTAAAACCAATGCATTAAATGCAGTGAATAGCACAGTAACCGTCAAAGATTTGGGTTATGACGCCGAATCACTGAGTGCCAAATTATCAGGAAAATTTGCTACCGATAGCCAAATCGATCTCGATTATGACCAATGGATCGGTAAAGATATTGCATCAGCACATGGCAGTACCATGCAAGATGCCATGATAATGTTGTTAGCGCGCAAGGAACGTGAATCCAAATCCATCACTTATCGTAAAGACAATTTAGGAATTTTTAATAATTTCTCATTTAAATATAACAAACAGTCCTTACTGGAACGCCAACAAGAAGGCGGTTATACCGAAACCTTAGACAGTGATAATTTTAATGCCAATCTATTTTTAAACTGGCATCAATTAAAAGCCAGTTTTGGTCTGGAAGCTGTTTTAGATAAGGCCGTCACCGCGGTGTATTCTGAACAAGATTATTATGCAGGTTTTACCAATCTAGAATATGACTTCGGCACATGGACAGGTTTTGCAGGAGTACGTGCCAATTATTGGGCAACCCGACAAAAATTACTTCCTGGGGCAAATGCTGAACTTGCCTCACAACTCATCGGTATTTCGGGAATTACCCCTGAAAAAACCATATTCGAACCAACATGGGCACTTGGAGCACAATATCACCTCACCGATACCCAGAATATTTCCGCCAATATCAGCCGTACTTTCCGTGCGCCTGATTTGTATGAACGTTATACATTTGGTGGCTTTTTGGGTGGGGGTTTAGCTTTACAACCTGAAGAAGGCTACCATGCTGAAGTGGCCTGGAAATACCTCAATGATCATTGGGCTTTAAATACCAGCGTGTTTTATAGCGACTTTGACCAATATATCTGGACGAAAACCAATCGCAGAGTTATTGATCGGGTTGGTTTAGAAAACTGTATTCGCATTGGTAAATGCAATATAGCGACAGGCAATTTCAATGATCATGAATCTGACTTTTTTCAAGACACCACCCAATATTATAATGCCAACCAAGTCAATAATTGGGGTATGGAATTAAGTGCCAACTATATGGATGAAGTGCATGACTTTGGTATTTCAGGTAGTTTTAATAAAATTGATTCTGAAGATGTTTTTGTACAAGCTGCGGCACATCCAATTGATATTAACAGCCATTATAAATATACCTTTAGCCAATTGCCATTACAGCCATGGGTGAAAGGCAAAATTCAGACTGTATTTGATGAACCTCAAGTCATACAAAAAGGCGGCTTTGATTCTTATACCATC